AAAACACCCCAAAAACACCCCAAAACCAGTCTGAAACAGCCCAGAAACACCCCAAAACACCCCAAAAACGGTCTGAAACAGCCCAAAACCACCCAGAAATACCCCAAAAACACCCTAAAAGCCCCCAAATCCCCTTCTAACCTTCCCCAAACCCCCCAATACCCACCCCAAACCCCTTTATTTTCCTTTTTAATCCCCTTTTTTACCCCTTTTTCCCCCCCATACCCACCCCAAAACCCCCTTTAACCTTCTCCAAACACCCCCAAACCCCATTTTTCCACTTTTAATCCCCTTTTTTCCCCTTTTTATCCCTTTAATCCCTCCAATACCCACCCCAAACCCCTTTTAATCCCCTTTTTTCCCCTTTTAATCCCCTTTTTACCCCTTTAATCCCCCCCAATACCCACCCCAAACCCCTTTTTTTCCCTTTTTAATCCCCTTTTTTACCCCTTTTTCCCCCCAATACCCACCCCAAAACCCCCTTTAACCTTCTCCAAACACCCTCAAACCCTTTTTTTCCCCTTTTAACCCCTTTTTCACCCTTTTTTCCCCAGCGGGGCTGGGTGCTGGGCCCCTCCAACTACTACAGCTTCGGGGGGCGGCAGCAGAAGGCCGAGGACCCCCCGATCCCCTCCACGGAGCTGGCCACGCAGGTCATCGAGTACGCCCGGCAGCTGGAGATGATCGTCTGAAAAAACCACAAAATTCCTTCCTTTCTTCTCCATTCCCTCTTTTTCCGCCTTTTTCTGTGATTTTTCCGCCTTTTTTCCCTGATTTTTCCGCCTTTTTTCGCCTTTTTTTGGGGGTTTCCAACGTTTAAACTGGTTTTTTTTGGAGGGGGTTGAACTGTTTAAAGATTATTTGGGCCTTTCCTACGTTAACGCCTCCAAAATTTCCCTAAAACCCTGTTTATTATTTTTATTTCTCTTATTTTATTGGGGGTTGAAGTATTTTTTTGGGGGTGGTTAAATATTTAAAATGAGTTTTGAGGGGGTCTTGATGCTCTGAAACCCTCGGGACCCCCAAAATCCCCATTTATTCCCATTTTCTCTTTGATTTTATTGCATTTTTGGGGGGGGGTTGATGTGGGAACCCCAAAACCCCCCCAAATCCCCCTTTTTGTTCCCATTTCCCCTCATTTTCGGGAGGTTTCACAATTTAAAGGTTCTTTCATGAGGGGATTTGGCGACCCCCTCCCCCTTTTCGGGCAGAACCGGGGGGCTGAGCCCCCTCCCCAAAAATACAAACCCCAAAATGTTGTTCCAATAAAGCGCTGGAGCCGGAGTGAGGCGGTTTTGGAGGGTTCGGGGTCGGTTTTGGGCCATTTTTGGGCTATTTTGGGGCCGTTTCGTTCCTGAGGGGGCTCCGGGACCCCCGAATTGGGGAGGGGGCGGGGCCAGCCCCTCACGGCGGCGCCCCGCCCCTCCCTCCTGATTGGCTGAAGGCTGCCGCCACTCACGCTGATTGGTCGAGGCTCTCCCCTCAGCAAAAAAGGCGCGCTCACGTGCCGGGGGGGGT